CTTTCCCTTCTCCACTGTTCCCTCTTCCTTCTCCCCACAGTGCATTACTCTTTCCCTCTCTTTCTATTCTTAAGATCGTCAGAAGGACCTGAAATCAAGTCCAGCCTTAGATACTTACTAGCTGTGTGACCCTGGGCAAGTCATTTAATCCCTGTTTACCTCAGTTTCCTCAACTATAAAATGGGGATAATAATAGCTTCTACCTCGAAAGGTTATTTTGAGGATCAAATGAGATAACTGTAAAGCACTTAGCACGGTGCCTGGCACATAGTAAGTACTATATAAATGTTAGGTATTATTATTACTAAATGCATGATCCTGACTATGGCAATTTCTTTCTGGCATTTTTTTCTTTGACCTGAAAGCTCTGGATTTTAGCTATAATGTTCCTGGGAGTTTTCATTTTGGGGTTTCTTTTAGGAGGTGCCTTGTAGATGCTTTCTATTTCTACCCTGCTTTCTGGTTCTAAGAGTTTTGGGTAGTTTTCTTCTAAGATTTCTTGAAATATGGTATCTAGATTCTTTTTTTTGTTGTTGTTCATGGCCATCAGATGGGCCAGTGATTATTACATCTTTCTCCTTGATCTGTTATCTAGATAGTTTGTTTTTGCTGTGCAATGCTTTATACACACACACATATATATATATATATATATACATATATATCTTCTATTTTTTTTATGCCTTTTGACTTGGTTTTAATATATCTTGTTGCTTCATGGAGACATTGTATTCAGTGATATGTACTCTCATGACCAGAGTTTGAATGTAGTCTAGAAGGACAAAGCTTAGAAGCATTTGTGATGAGAAATGTTTTTCTGAATTAAAAAAAATGTATTTCAGAAAGAAGTTCAATTGATTAGGTAAATGCTACCTTGCCCTATAAATTATTTTCGATTCTGAGTCTAAATTTCTTACAAAATATATGGCTGCTGGATATAGTAGATGACTATCAACATGGTTTATATTTAATGATATTAGATGCTACCTAAAATGCCTGTAATTAATATTTTAGGAGTGAACTAAATGCAGTACTTTTTTTTTCTTTCTATACCCATTTTTTCATGTCAAGAGAAAGTTTTACTCCTTTCTAAGAATGTTTCAGGTGCCTCTTTTATTATTGAATGTCCATCTTTTTTCATTCATGATTAAGCTCAGATTTTTATAGGTTGCATCCTGAGTTCCATTGCTCTTTGAAACATGTTATTCCATTCTCTTCTGAGTTTTCTGGTGGGTTCAGGAAATTTTTGCATTATTTGAATTTTCTCCCCTTCATATTTGAAGGTCATTCTCCTGATTGCTTGCAAAACTTGTTTCTGAATTGAATTATTAAATTTAACCATGTGCTTAGTATGCACTTTGGTTTGTTTGTTTGTTTGCTTGTTTGTTTTCCTGGAGCTGATCTATGAATTCTTTCAACTGGTATTTATTTTCTGTTCAGAAGTTCTAGGCAGTTCCCTGTTATTTCTTGAATTTGGTATTCAGGTTTTTTGTCTCATTATGTTCTTATGGGAGATTGATGATTCTTAGGTTGTTTCCACATGTCCTGTCTTCAAACTTTTTATGTTGCATAGTAAGTATATTTTCTTTTAGCACTTTTTTTTTTGCTTCTCTTCTTCTAGATTGTCCTTCACTTCTGTGTATTTGCATTCCAGATCTATTGTTCTCTCTTTTGTCTCTTTGGTGAAACTTGCCCATTGTTGGTTCCAGTTTCTCTATTTTGTCCATTAATTTTGCTGTTCAAGCCATATATTCTACTCTCACAATTCTCATTTCTCTTTTAAAATGAGAAGCAGTGTGTGGTGATTCCATGTTCTCCTCACATTCTGAGGATCCACTGTCTCATCAAGTGTTACATCATTTTCCCTTGTTTTGTATGTGCTTTTGTACGTAATAAGCACTTCATCAATGCTTTATTGTTTGTTCATATCATGAAGTAAATGATGGCACAACTTTTAGAGGTTCTAGTTTGTTTCGGCAACAGCATACACTGCTAAATAAATTATTCTCTGAATGTAACTACTTGGTTTCTTTATTCCGCTGTAAAAATAGTGGCAACATTCTGTGCTGCAAATGATCTCTGAAGGATTGTAGAACAGCTCAGTGCCACACCAAACTCCTCCCAGAGCATTGGAGATGCAAAATACAGAAATCAACCCCATAGCACCAGTGCAGCAGCACTAAGACATGTTGTAGTTCAAGCCATATACTAATTTTAGGGGGGAGATTTACACATCAATAAAGTCCCCAAGAAAACTCAGTAGATATAAATACCATGAAACAAAAGACCAAAGTAATACAATAATGACCATCAATATTAAATAACCTCAATTCTTCTGTAACTTGGCAACCCACTCCCAATGTTCAATCAATCAGCACATTTCATCTTGAGTCTCAGATGTCCCATGTAGTTTTCTGGTCCCTGGAAATATCATCCCTTGGACATTTCAGAATAGGTCTTATTCTTAGGGCAGCTCTAAAGTGGTATCTTTCCAGTGGATTTTCTTCTCTGGACCCAGGACACTTGCAGAGTCAGTAATTCTACTAAATTCTACGATTTAGTATACTCTCTTAAATTTGCTTTTTCCAGCAACTAGGTCATGTGGTAAAAACCAGCTCAAGTCTTGTGATTCTAATCCTATTGACAACAGAGCTATAAGAAGAACATAAGTTAGGAACCTATAGTTCACTTGAAACTTCAGAGAATTTCAGTTATTACATACCTCTCTGATTTTATCTTTCTTCTTTACAATCATCAATGTAATTTTATATGTAGAATCCTGAACCCAATTTTTAGAACTTATTATCATAACATATTCAATGCCTGTACACATAATCATCTGGTCTTGTTACTTTCTCAAATTTTTTTCACTCCTCCTAATTCACCTTGTAGGAAGAGGAGAAACTTTAATTATCTAATCCTATACATGAATATATAGCTACTAGCACTCATTGTAAGTAGATGTTTTTTATCCCTAGGTTCAACATTACCCAAATGAAATTGTTTAAAAGATGTTTATTCAACTCTAAATGTAACAAATAACAAAAGACTTGGGATGTGATATGTAAATATGCTAAATAATTAATCCCAAATTGTCTTTAGAAAACAATTTATGCAAAATGAATTGTCTTTAGCAAAATATGTTCAGTTGTTAACTATACTTAAGATTTTACACATTTTTAGAAGTCCTTTAAACAATGGGAACATCTTTAGGATAACCCTTGAGTAGTTTACATGTATTTCAGGATATGCTAGTTTGTCATCATTTCAGCACATGATTTAAAATTCAGTTGTTTTTCAGTCATGCCCAACTGTTTATGACCTCATTTGGGTTTTCTTGGCAGAAACACTGGAGTAGTTTGCCATTTCTTTCTCCAGGTCATTTTACAAATGAGGAAACTGAGGCAAACAGGGTTAAGTGACTTGCCCAAAGTCACACAGCTAGATGTGTGAGGCCTGATTTGAACTGGCACTTCTTGACTCCGGGCCTGGCACTTTATCCACTGTACCACTTAGCTGCCCTACATGTACTATACACAGGTTGTCTTACAATCAGGTTATCTCTACAATCAGTTATCTTAGTGGAGAGTAATTTATGAACTTTCTTGTGTTACCTAAATGGGAAATCCAATTTTACTTAGGTTTATTATTTTAAACATACAAGTTTTATTCCCAGATAAAATAACAAACCTAAGTAAAATCAGATTTCCCATTAAGATAACACAAT